TGAAACAAAAAGTCGCACCGAAACACTTTTTGTTTTAATATTCTTAAATGTGAACAGAAATCATAGTGGCCTTAAACGAGATATTAAAAAAAAAAACAATAATTCAAGTACTAATAATAGGTTTGTTCGGACTTGGTTCAGAATTAGTTCTGAATTGAACTGCGTTTGCGCATTTGGCATTTGTTCATATATGTCCGAACAAACCTAATATTGCAAAAAGTAGGTATAGTATTTTCAAACTCAGTTAAAACAAGATACCAACTGGTAGCTGACTGGTCACTGGATATTTCCATAAGAAATGCACTGCCTTTAGTCAGCCACCAGTTTTGAGTCATGTTCACCTTGTTCCAATTGACTTTCGAAAAACTATAGGTACTTAAATGTCAAAACCATTTTTTTAATGAAATGAATGGATTAAAATGTCCACTTATAGAAATATTTATTTATTGGTACAGGGTAAACTTCCATGGCATTTAGAATTGCAGAGTATTTAGTTTAGAGGATCTGAATAAACATCTTTTGGTGGAACATTTTCGAATACAATTGCATTTCTTAAATCATTGGCAACTACATAACGACAATTTTCGCACTGTACTTCTTACGCTATTTTCCTGAGATGGAAAATCTCCAGGACTCAAGAAATTTTCTTAATTTTCTTAACGATTATCGTTTCACGATATCGATTTCTGTAACGTGTATCAGTGGTATTCGTACTTTTACCAATGCGGTGTGGTAAATCCTAAGATTTACTGTTTGTGTCCGGTAAAAGTCCGAAATGGAAACAAAATACCTAGTTTTCGGGCTTTCACCACTTGCTTTTGGTAAATCCTAGGTTTAGCGCGCTTATCCTAGGTTTTACCGAATTTCGGGCATTTACAGTAACATATATAATAACGAGACAATGATAAAGAGCAGCCTTCTATATGTAAGCGAGACTTGGAGAATTACAGACAAAAGAAAAAGTGGAAGCAATTGAAATGGATGCTATTAGAAGATCCGTGCGAATCTCACAAAGAGAGAGAATAAGGAACGACAATATAAATCAACAAATAGGAATAAAAGGATCGATAGCTCAGGACATTGAAAAGAAACAACTTATCTGGTACAAGCACGTAGAACGAATGCCAAATACCAGGTGGCCCAGAAAAATGCTACATTGGCAACCAACAGGTAGAAGAAAATGAGGCCCAAACTGGAATAGCAGAAGACCATACAAAAGTCCATCTTCATCAGAGGATTGCGACGATAAAAGAGGATGGAAATTAGGTGTCGGACAACGAAGAAAGACGTTCTAATACGACATATATGTATAGATAAATAACAGAAAAAAATAGACAAGAAGCTCGAAAATTGAACAAAAAAATAAATCACAAAAAAAATTAAAAAGAGTTGAAAGTAAAGATTTCTGCTGACCTCTTTTTGCAAGTTATCAAGTAAGGTTAAACTCTCGGTTAAACTGACCAAAACAAAAAAGCCAACTTATAAAAACTGACCTGAAAAAGGTCTACCTCACGAAATTTAAACTATTTTAAGAGCTCATTTTTGGTTACTTTCGTTTATGATGTAATATTAAAATACGATACTGTTACTAGGCGTCAAAAACTAAAACTAAGTTATCAATTGCTAAAAATAATAATAAGTACCTAGGTACCTTAATAACTAAGATTTCTGCCGGACCAGCTATACAATGTATTAGATCAATTTTTATAAGTTCCGGTTAAATTCAAACCTCGCATAAGGGAAATAGCAGCAACTTAGGAAAACTAATCCAAAAAAGGTCCAAATGCAAGAAATCACTAAAAGCTATAGCATGTGGTCCATTTGACAAGTTTTAATATCTGATTTATAGAAATCAGATAAAAATATACAAAAAAAAAACAAATATTTGATAACAAGATCACAGTCTAAGTATAAAAATAAAAATACAATTATTACGTTCTTAATGGCTACATCTTATAACTTAAGATTCCTCTTGGACCAAACTGTACAATTTATCAAGTCAGTTTTTATAAATTTCCTAAATTGAAACTTTGAAGTACAACCATACTTAACCGCAACTAGAAAAGAGGTTCAATGGCAATGGCAATTGAAGGCCATTATTGGATAGTATAGAGACTGGATTTATAGGCATAAGATAACAGAATAAATAGACAAGAAACAAAAAAATAAAAACAATTATTGTAGATGAAAATTCATCATATTTTCGAAAATTCTACTAAAAAAAACTATAACCCAGTCTCTCGAATGATATTATACAAAAAAATTTAAATAGTTCCTGAAATTATTAATACTCTCAAATCTCAAAGTTAAGATTTCTGCTGACCTCTCCTTTACAATTTTTTAAGTAAGGTTAAAACTGATCAAGACCAAAAAGAAAAACTTATAAAAACTGACCTGAAATAGGTCTACTACAAGAAATCTCTTAAAAATTATTAGGCACGTTCCTTTCATGCTTTCGCACTGACCCTGTATTTCCTTAAAACTAACCCAAACTAAAACTAAGTTATTAATTCCTAAGTTTAATAACAAATAGGTACCTTATTAATTAAGATTTCTGCTGGACCAGCTATACAATGTATTAGATCAATTTTCATAAGTTCCGGTTGAATTCAAACCCCTCAAGAAATAGCAGCAACTTAAAAAAGCTGATCTAAAAATGGCCCAATCGCAGGAAATCACTAAAAGCTAATAAGAAGTGTGTTTAACAAGTTAAAATCTGATTTATAGACATGAGATAAAAATACATATACAAGAAAAAAAAAATTGATAAAAACCTACAACTACTATACAGTCTCCATAATAATGTAAAAAATTGAATAAAATGATGAAACAAAAAAATTACAAAAATATTATTCTTAAATAAGAAAAATTAAAAATATAGTTCCTAAAATTACATATCTACTAATACCTTAAAAACTAAGATTTCTGCTGACCTTTGCTTTACAATTTATCAAGTCCAGTTTACTTAAAACCTTTCAAGGCAAAAGAAAAACAAAAAAGAAATTTATAAAAATTGACCAGTACAAGAAAAAAAAAAATTGATGTGAATTTTCAGAATTTACATTGAAATAGGATACTAACCCAAATGAACCAGAAGTATAATTTATTAGATGATTTTTTTTTACGTTTCAGTTAAATTCAAACCCTTCATCAGGGTAAAGAAGTAGCAGCAACTTAAAAAACTGGCCTGAAAAACGTCCAAGCGCAAGAAATCACTAATTCATGATTCGATTCAATAAGCACACAAGAAACAATAAGATACAAGAAAAAAGAAAATATGAAAAAAGCAAAATTAAATCTAGGGAATGTATTATTGAAGTATGGGTCTTTCAATTTTTTTTTTTAAATTCTATACTTACAAAAAAAAACTTACAATGAAGTTGTGGTGTATTGTGTCTGTGTTGTTGCGTTTTGCTAGAACTGTGAAAGTGAATAGTTGTTTTGAACATTGAATAGTTACTTTTATTTTTGTAGTTTTATATGTTTGGGGTGCCATTGTTGGCCAGGTAGGAAAAGTAATGTCATAACTGACAGTTGAGATGAAATTTGATATAACTCTGATATAACTATTGTCAAGGGGTTTAATTGGGAATTCGACAGACTAAATTCAGTGAGAAAAGTAGTTTAAAGTTGAGCTGTTGTATTATTTACAACCCAGGCTGAAGACCTGTCAGAGGTAATTTAAATAATGTTAAAAATAATAATAATTCTAAAATAGAAAATATTGATATGTATGTAGGTACATCAAAAATTAAGATTTCTAAAATGAGATTTAAAAAAAAAAAAACATAGAAACTGGCTTGAAAAAGGTCTACTGCGAGAAATCTTTTAAAAGTAATACTCACTCATCAAGATGCTATATTCCAATCAATCCCCTAATTTTTTGAATGGAGATCAAATTTCTAAATAAGTATAACAAAAAAATGTGATCAGATTCATGTGATGTGAATTATATTTAAATTTAGTTTCCAGAAATTTGATCCCCACCCAACATTTCGGGGATATCAAGAACTAAAACTAATTTCTAAATTAGATTATATTAGAACCTTAACTAAGATTTCTTCTGGACCAGCTTTACATTGTATTAAGTGTGTTTTGATAGATTCCGGTTAAAACCGAAACCTTTAAAAACTCACTTAAAAAGGTCACCCGCAAGAAATCTCCACATTCAAATTGTGCAAACTTTGTAGCTAGAAAATCTTGTAAGTATACATAGTTAATATTAATACCTATTTAAGATTTTTGCTGGACCAACTGTACAATTATTAAATCAGTTTCTATAGGTTCCGGTTACAAATTAAATCCCCAGTGCCAGTAAGAAACCGCTTTAAAAATGGTCACCCGCAAAAATCTCCATGAATTATTATGCCAAAATCTCCCGTTTGAATAGAGACCGTATCAAATAAGCGTGAAATTAGGTTTGAACGAAACGAAGAAATAATTAAAAACATCGAAAAATGCTGAAACAATATTTTCCTGGAATATCGAAGGCTGTATTTTTTTGTTTCACTCACAGAGACTAGATTTTCAGATTTTGAAAAATTGAAAAGTTGAAAATGAAAAAATCTGGTGTACAAATTGAGAGGAAATTTAGGACAATCAGAGGAAATTATCATCATTTTGCCTTCAACAATATGCAAAACAACAAACGAAAAAGTCCGTCAGTTTGAAATGTTGATTTTCCTTTCCAGCATTGCATAATGTCGGATTTAAGCTCATATTAAGTATACCTTGAAGTGTTGCAAACCTTAAAAGTATTGTCAGAGTTTCTATAAGGATAGCAATTTTTTTTTCCGATGTTATTAACTGAAACCCAAAATAGAGTCTCTGAATAAATAAGTTCCAAAATTATAATTATATACCTATTATTTAATGAGAAGGAAATCATAGGGACTTCGGCCAAAACAGTCTATATTACGTTACCTGTTAAATTTTGACAAGTTTTCACTTCTTCAGCAGGACCCTTCAACATTGTTAATTGTTATTGACAATATTGAAAGGTCCTGGTGAAGAATTGAAAAATCCAACAAATACCGTAATATAAACTGTTTTTGCTGTGATTTCCTTCACATTATATACTACTACTGCCGTTAAATTTCTATACCTAAAATATACTTAAGACTAATCACCAATATACATATTTTTACAAGTTTTATCGTCTTTTTGAAGCATCTGCATATTTGAAATTAGTTTTTTTTTTTTTTGTGAGAAGCTGGAAATGAAGTTAAAATTCTAATAATAATAAGAAAAGTCGCTTCACCTATTAAGGTAAAACCTGTCAGAGTCAGGGCAACAATAAGTCAGGAAACCAGTAAAATTTAATCAAATCTTAAAAATGAGTCAGCTCAAATCCACTGTCTTAAATATGAATTTGTTTACTACTTGATCCCTTCAAGTTCATTGCAACCAGACTTATGGAATCAGAAATACAGCAAAATGAGACGTTGAAAAAAGATAAATATCACATCAGAAATACTATATAGTCAATCTGTAATTACTATTGTACCCAATTTATTTCCATAACCAACACAAACTCTTAGTATTCTACCAAATTTGAATAAAACCTCTTAAATTGCAACATACTGTAAAATTCGGAAAATAGAAAAAAAAAAGAGTACGAATATACAAATACAACTCTACTTACATATATTCATCAACATTAACATCAGCAGCAACCTTGGGACGTAATTGTAATCTGACCAAATTGTAAACTTTTGGCTTTTTCTTGTAGTAACAAATTTGCTTAACGAGTAGTATAACCATAATAGAGGCATATACGATGATAAAGGCTAACATGATGGTCAACCACTCCCAGTACCTCCTGGAGGCGATGTTGCATATGATTCTCCTTTTGTTCTCATCTATGAGCTAGAAACAAATCGAGTTTACAAAATTGATGTACAACTTCTTCAGTATCTATAGCTAGATGTATTTTTCATTCACCTAAGATATAGATACTGAAGCTTGGTAGAAGCAAACATTGCAGCACAATATTGGTTTCACTTGGTTGTGTGACGATTTTTTTTTCAATTTAATCTAAATATAACGTATTTTTCAAACTTACCAAGTCCTCTTCACAAACGTAGTAATCATCGTAAAAGGGCCAAATAACACAAGTGCAGTTCACATCTGGAAAAAAGGATTAAAAATTAAATTAATATTATATTTTAGACAAGGGTTACTTACTCTTGTCATGCTTGGAATCAAGTCGTGCCACTTCACTGGAAATAATAACTTTTGCTGGTGATATTTGGTTCTCCAAACAGTCCAAATTGGTCACAGTTATTGGTTTAGCTTCGGCACTGAAAAAAAATATATATATATTAGTTCATAAAAGCAGAATCTCTAATGGCATATAGATGGGTAATCTTCTAAAAAAGATAAGCAAATTCCAATACAATGCTGCAAATTCTAAATCACACACAAATTAAAAAATTACAGTAAAATACACAAGTCTAAAATAGAATTGAAGTAATAATTCATAAAAAAGTGCAAATAGGGAGAAAAGAATAAAACTGGAGTGTGGAAAAGCTGGCAGAAAATTAACTAAGGTGAGATAGTTGTGGGTGCAAAATATAGACAATCACCCGGTACCTAGAACGTTGGCTACTTTTCTATCAAACGAAAGATGCCGCCAACAAAATTGTCAAAGCCTTTTTCGTTTTTCATATTCAGATACAAGGTGTTTTTGAAAATGTTGCATTTTGGGACATCGCTTGTATCTTGGTTCTCTTATGAGCTATCGAAAAGGTTACACCGGGTTCCTATAGATCTTCCCACGTAGATTCCAGTGGCGATGTTAGTTTTTCTCTAGAAGTGATAGTTTTTGAATTATAAGCCAAACATACGTTTTTTCAAATGGGATCCTGTATATAAAAATTCATTAGATAGCTCCGCTTTTGCTGATTTCAATGATTAGGTTTATCTCTATCTAAACTATTGAACTTTGTATCTCATTTGCAAAAACACATGTTTGGTTCATAACTTAAAAACCATCACATCTAGAGAAAAATTGACTACGCCACTGGAATCTATGTAAAAATATCTGTAAGAATCTGTTGTCACCTCTTCGATCATTTATGAGAGAACCGAGATACATACAAGGGGTGTCCCAAAGTTAATAGGTTGTCTGGTGATGAGAAACAGATGACGTCATCTGGGGTGGAGATTTGCCTTATGTTTAGGCTCCACAAATGACGTAGGTAATAAAATTTATCAAGATGGATCAGCTGTTTTGAAAAGCGTGTCGGTAATTTTTGAAAAAGTTGAATCTTTCTAAAAATTATTGAGAAGGAATGTCTTTGAACATGGAGAAATTAAGTATATTGACACAAAATTTGTGATTTTGACATTTGAAGGAAAAACCATACCGAGATATGTGAACATAGATAACTGCGATGTAATAGTGAACGTGTATATCAGTCCGGTTATGATGTGCTTCAACTGCCTAAGATACGGGCATACTGCCACACAATGTCGCAGCAAGAAAAAGTGCGCAAGATGTGCAGAAGAACATGAGGACACAGCCTGTGAGGCAGGAAGCGAAACTTGTCTGTATTGTGGTAAGGATCACAAAACTACCGACAGAAGGTGTCAGGAGTATCTAAGACAGAAAGCCATTAAGCAAATGATGACTACAGAAAATATGTCATATTATGAAGCCAGACAATAATTCCCCAAGGAAGGAGAAACAAGAATAGAAAGAGACATAATTGATCACAGAGACTTCCCAAACCTTGGAAAGATTTTTGAGAAATGTCTCAAAGAAAGATTAGATTCTTATTTTGAACAAAACAAGATTTTGTCAAAAAATCAATTTGGTTTTACTCCTGGGGTTAGTACGGTGGATGCAATGTATGAGCTGGTACGCGATATCACCAAAAATCTGGACGACAGAAAAAGGTGCCTTGTGGTATTCCTTGACTTATCAAAGGCATTCGACACGGTATCACACAAGATTTTACTAAAAGTGCTAGAAAGATATGGAATAAGGGGAACTACACTACAACTATTAGAAAACTATTTATAACATAGAACACAGTTTACTAAAATAGGAGATTGTATTAGTGAGCCAGATACAGTCAAAATGGGAATACGACAGGGAACTGTTCTGGGTTCTTTGCTGTTCAATGTGTATATAAATTCTATAAACGACCTAAATTCACCTGGCAAGATAATATCCTATGCAGATGATACTGCTATCATATTTGTCGGGGATACTTGGCAAGAAGTAAGGGAGAAATTTCAGCAGGGCCTATCATCGGTTAAAGATTTTCTAGATAGCTTTAAACTAACATTGAATGGTAAAAAATCAAAATACATTGCATTCTCTATAAATGATAGCAACAGACCAAACTATCAACAAATTACCATAAATAATATACCAGACTCAATTGAAGAAGTGACCAATTTTAGATATTTGGGTGTACACATTGACAAAAATTTAAGATGGGACCATCATATTTTATATTTAACAAAAAAGATAAGGGCACTATTACATAAATTTTATATGTTGAGAGAACTCCTCACCAGAAAATTATTAATTTTAATTTATAAAGCTTTAATTGAGCCGCTGTTGAAATATGGGATTCTGGTGTGGGGAGGCGCATATGAGAGTAACATCAAGAATTTAAAGACTGCACAAAATTCAATAGTAAAGTTTTTGGCACACACAGATGCATAGGCATCTAGGTGCCACTTTATTACTGTTGAAATTATAATTTAATTGTACAGCCTATAATTGAATAAATTGAAAATTGAATTGAATATTAGAAACCTCTAAACAAAGACAGGAGGAAAACAACGTAATTAACATCAATCAGAGACACATATATGGTGGTACAGCGGGCAGTACAACACCTAGAAGAACCACATATGCTTCGACGGTAAACAACCTCAAAAGAAAGACACTAAGATCACCAGTGGGATATGATCAGGGAAAACACAAAAGATGCCTGTTCCCAGACCCAAGTAGAACTCCAACATACAGAAACTCAGGCGCCAACTCGCCAGCAATAAGTACTTTCTCATTAAAACCAACTCCAGTAATTGAAGTTTTGAAACAAGTCATAGAAAAAACAGCGTGCTCGTGCTCACAAGAGATAAAGCAATGGCCTTTAGAAGAATGCCAGAAAGCCACACACGACAGTGTAGGATATGATCAAGATGCAGAAGTTACATACTACATGGAGGATACACCAGCTCAAATTGAAGAATCGTTATATAATCAAAGCCAGGTATGAGAATCTCTTAAATGAGACTTGGTTGAAGGAGGATAAAACCTTCACCATGAAAAACTACATTATAGTAAGGCAAGACAGAGCCGATGGAAAAGGAGGAATAGCCATAGTATGATAAAATCGCATATTCCATTCACAAAGGTTAAAATAAACAACAACTTCAATCAGAGATTCCAAGCCATGGGAATAAGAGTCAACGGAATACTAATTATCAATGCATACAACCCCCCGGAAATATAATTAACTATAAACAACATACTTCAAGTACTGAATGGGGCCAGCGCTCCATTCATCATGATGGCAGATTTGAATGCACAACATAGCGCATGGGGATCGGAAATAAATAATTACAATGGAAGACAACTCTTTGACATTGTAAATAACTTGAACCTAATAATAATGAATGATGGTACTAGGACCAGAAACACCTCCCCTCATCAAAATAAAAGGTGCTCGGATATCACAATAACATCAGCAGCCTAGATGCAGCTGGAATGTGATAGAAGACCCAGGATCTAGTGATCATTTTCCCACTAGGTGCCAAATAAACATAACTACCAATCAAAATGAAATGGCGCTAAACAAAGCAAGAAACAGATGGAATATAAAAAAGGCAGATTGGGATAGCTATTACATTCAGTTTGATAGGAAAAAATAAATTATTAACTATCAACAGCTGGTGGCGGAAATTAATAGAGCAGGGGATGTTTTTATAGCTATAACTAGTGGAAATGATAAATAAATAATAAAGACGAGTTCCCAAACCACAGTGGTGGGATGATGAATGCGATGGAATGGTGAAGAGTAGACAAATGGCAATGAAACAATACAAGGATAACATAACTCTGGGAAACTTTTTGAATTTTAAAAATATAGCAGCTAGAACTAGAAGAATTATGAAAAACAAAAAGGAAGAGAAGTTTAAGGAATTTACAGAAACATTAAAGGGATACCCCAATTGGAACAGTGTGGAGAGTGGTGAAAGGATTTGCAAATAATACACAAAACGAAAGATTGAAATCTGGCAACGAGGAATGGCTGGAAAGCCTATTGGATAGTCTAGCACCGCCATATGTTACAACTTGGGAAGAAGCAAAAAGAACAAAACATAGACAACGGGATTTCAAAAGAATAACATGGGAAGAAATAGAGTACAATATTCAATACAAGAAAGACACAGCACTACGGATAGACAATATTGCCTATTCAATGATCAAAAATGCACCGAATTTTATTGAAAAAACCCTGCTAGGGATATATAACAAAATAATGGTAGCCGAACTGGAAATACCAACAGAATGGAAAAACCATATAATAATACAAATAAAAAAACCTAACAAGGAACCGAATGACCATACAGCTTTTAGACCAATAGCATTGGCCTTATGCCTAGGGAAAATTTTGGAAGAAATTATTAAAAGTAGAATGGAACATTTCCTTGAAAACAAGAATTTCTTTAGTACGCAACAAAATGGATTCCGAGAAGGGAGGGGAACTACAGATAACTTGGTGATGTTGGCGAACAAAACACAGCTTTCACACAAAACCAGACACTGGTATGTGTCTTCATCGATCTCAAGTCAGCTTATGACAATGTGTTGATAGAGAAATTAAAGTTGTACTTGTTGGAGGCTGAAGTTAACAACACAACTACAGATTTCATATACAATCTACTGATGGAAAGAAACATATATATAAAGTCCCCGAAATCAGGAAAAATTATAGGTCCACAGGTGGCGCGCATGGGGCTACCATAAGGATCACTTTTGAGTCCTATTTTGTTCAACCTGTATATGAATAAAATATAAGAAGTAGCAGGAACAGAAACAACAATTCTACAATATGCAGATGATTTGGTAATGATTGTGGCGGACAAAGAAACTTAACCGGCTATGCAAAAGGTACAAAGTGCAATAAACAAATTAAACAAATGGCTCAAGGACAATAATTTGGAAATTTCGGTAGGTAAAACTAAGGCAATGGTATTCTCCAAGGGAAAAAGAAGATACCTACCCGGTGAGAAAAATTAAAATTCAAAATCACGAGATAGAGTGGGTCAGTGAATATAAATACCTAGGAGTTACACTAGATTATAGACTATCATGGAACACCCAGATAGATCAGGCTACAAAAAAAGCACAAAGAGGTATAAATGTTATGAGAGCTTTAACGAGAACATGGTGGAGAGCAGATCCCAACATTCTACTAAACATTTATAAAAGGTTGGTTAGATCACAATCTAGATTATGGCTGGCAGGCTATGTATCACACTAGTAAACTCAATTGGAATAAAATGGACAGAATACAGTTTTAGGCTCGTCACGGGATGTATGAAGAGTACGCCGGTATATGCATTACTTTCCAAAACGGCCCAAATGCCACTTAGAATGAGAAGGAGTTGGTTGAGCACAAAGCTTGCCCTCAAGAAAATGGGCATTGGTGGAGATGTGGTGAACATGAGCTTACTGGAATTCTATGCGCTGTACAATCAAGAAATGCAATACTGGAGGAGTAAACAATGTCCATCAATGATGGAGGCGGTGGATTACACACTATCTAACATAGAAACCCTGGAAAAATCATATAACACACCCTGCTTTGAATATGAATATCGAATGCAATTAGCAAAGATAAAATGGACAGATTCCAGGATAGAAAAACATGGACAGGACTCGCAAAAAGGAATGGAGGAAATCCTCAGCCAGGTTGAGACAATCTACACAGATGCTTCCCTAGAACCCACTTTGGCGGATGCGGAGTTGGGATATACAACAAAACAAGAAATATCAAAATAATAGGGAAATTTATGAACAATATCTGTACAGCGGAAACTCTGGCTATATACGTGGCCCTCAAGTCCTTAAGAGAAGATACTAAAAAGCCTCTATCAATAGCAGACTCCAAGAGTGCAATACAAAAAAAGTTAGGAGTGGAATCAAAAGAGAATCTAACAAAATCACGTTGAAGACTAAAAAACTAATAATGGAGCTGCGGGAAACTGGAGTGACAAAAGAAATGATATGGATACCGGGGCACTCGGGTATCCATTGACGAGATGGCGGACAGGCTGGCCTTGAGGGGCAGGATCTCAGACAATTATGTTAACAATGAGAGGCACTACTCAGAATATTACAAAAATGCTAAAGAGGAGGCATGAATAGAGTGGAACAACATTTACAGAGAAAAGGGAGATAACTGTAATAGCAAATACTTTTCCATAGTGAAGGAACCTCAAAAGATACGATGGTTTGCACATATCAATAAGGCTGATAGGCATAAAATAAGTGCATTCTGCAGAATGAGAACGACTCATTGCAAAACACCCCAACAGTTGTATAAAATTGGCATAATTCCCATTGATAGATGTGAATGTGGTGGAGTGGGAGACATCACTCACGTCCTGCTGAATTGCAGACAGAGAAGAGTGCAAAATGATGAATGTGTATTTAAAGCTAGTTAAATACAAGAATGGTTCAATAATGTTAGAGGAAATCTTGGCCGACCCAACTAGCAGGGAAGCAAAAGAAATCATGGATTATTTAAGAGGTAACATTGAAATTTGAAAGGCACACAAAAACTCGAGGAACATATTCATACAAAATCCAAACACATCATCGAAAAAATCATAAAATGCATGGCATCATCACACATTTTAGTAGATCACAGAGTTAATCATAGAGTGCATGACAGTAGTAAAGTAGTCAACAAATAATAGTGATTTCCCATCTAGGTGTGAATGAAACAACCAAAACAAGATCCTGTTTGTCACCTGGTGTAACCCCACCCAAGCAGTGTGAAATTCCAGCCACAATCCTGAATCCTATTTTTCTTTAAAAAAAAAGCTTCAACAAAAACAAGCAAGCAGGATACATACCACAAACCTCGACACATGGGGAATGGACATTCGTAGAATGAAAAAAATAAGAAGAAATAGATGACTGGTTGAATGTTGTTGAGCGACAAGTGGCCATAGTAATTTGAAAAGAAGAAGAAGAAAATTTATCAAGTAACTCAAGGTTTCTAAAAGGCAACCTTTCTTGGGGTGTACCAAAATGCAATATTTTCAAAAACACCTTGTGTCTGAGAAACAGAAACGGCGATGTCATTTCTGTTGGCGCACCTTTCGTTTAACAAAAAAATAGCCAGTGTTTGCGAAAACCGTATCCTTCTAACAAGATATCCCTTATGCACAACCAAAATGGAACACCCTGTACGTACAGGGTGGCCAATTTGGACACGTTCAATAGGAAGCGTCAATTTCTGAGCCAGATGCAAAAAAAATGAGCCCCCCCCCACCCTGAGGCTCATATTTCATGAAATTTTAATTGGTGCGAACGGCATTTTGATATCTTCATCCGTTTAGCCGCTAGAGGGTGATTCTCGATTTTGAGCAATACCTAGATACTGTGAAACATTCATAACTTTTTTGTTTATGCGAATAATTGATTTCCGTTAAAACTTTTAAGAAGCACTTTTTCAATCAGAATCCAGTGACGTTCTCAGTATTTTTCTATTCGGCCCTGATTTTGAGATAGTATGACAAAAGTCCGATTTTTTTTCAATAGGACACCCCCTATATTAATAGCTCATTGAAAAGCTCTGCTTTTGCTGATTTCAATGATATGAAGTTCGATAGGTTTATCTTCAACAGTTTTTGAGAATAAAATTAGAATCTGTTTTTGTTATAAGAACCATTGTGTTAGAATAGGACTTTATATCTGCAAAGATAATGAGGAAGGTCTTTTATAACATTGCTTCTTATGACAAAAACAGACATAGTTTTTTTCTCGCAAACTGTTAGAGGATACACCTATCGAACTTTATATTATTGAAATCAGCAGAAGCAGAGCTAGAGTGTCCCGGTCAAAATCTCGAAATCGGAGCCAAATAGAAATAAACTGAGAACGTCACTGGCTGCTTCTGCTTAAAAAAGTGCTTCTAGAAGGTTTTTACTGAAATAAATTATTCTCATAAACAAAAAAGTTATAAAACCGTATTGCTCAAAATGGATAATTGTCTTCTAGCGGCAAAACGGTTGAAGATATTAAAATACGGTTTGCACCAATGAAGTTAAAAGTGTCCCAATTGGCCCACCCTGTAATTATTTCATCAGTGAAAGCACGATGGAAAGAATTATAAAAATTAACGAACATTCGATGAAAATACAGAAAGGAAGCCTCAACTCGAGCTAAAATTCAGCAAAAATTGTTTGGAATTAAAAAAGGACCAACTTTTTTTGAACAAAGATATTAGCAGAAATCCGGGATAAGAAGGAACAAAAAAAAAAGAAGAACAATAAAACAATAAACAGAAAATAAGTAGAAAAAACACACAATCAATTCAAGCTAATATTACCTAGGAAAATATTAATTGTCATTGAAAAAGATTAATTTGCCTTGATAAAAAATATAAGCAGAAGCACTACACGCGTGAAAAAAATGGTTAACAAACATCTGATAGAAAAAAAATAGAAACATCCAAAATTCGAAAAAAAAGCTTCAACTTAAGTTAAAATTCAGCAAAAATTGTTCGAACTAAAAAAAGAAACAATTTTCCTTTTGAACAAAGCACTATCAAAAATCTCATTAAAAAAAAACTAAAAAATGATACAAATTAAGAAAAAAATCAGCAAGTAGGTATCTGACGACGGAAAGAGACAAAATAAGTTAAAATTTTAGCTTATTTGTACCTAAGTACACACTTGAAATTAAATAACCAATTTTTCGTGGAAAAACATGTTAGCATAGAAAAATCGTAGGTATTTGAATAGACAGAAAAAGAAAATCGTGGAAATTTAGGTATTTTTAGCAAAAATTCAATGAAAAGTAAGATAATTTGATGAAAAGCCAGACAACAAAATTAAATATTTTCCTAAAATTGGTAAAATTCTGTAAAATATTATTCCAAACATAAAATAACAATTTTACATGGAAGAAATACTTCAAAATTTGATTGAAAAAACAAAATATCTTTTTGGAAAAATGCCCAAAAATCAAAATCTTTTCCTACACAAAAAATATGTATTTTTTCCCAACAATCTATAATTAATGAAACTACATAAAATCTTTAAGTGAATTAAATTAAATTAAAAACTTAAAATTTAGATTCTTTTTGGCTCAATCAAATCAAATTTGTATTTTATTTAATTAAAACAGTTTTAACCTTATTGGGTTTGTTGGCAAAAAAGGTTGATTTTTGTCTATTTGAATTCTCTTATTTTATTGGAAAATATTTTAGCAGAATTGAAGCAAAAACTAAAAAAAAGAGAATCAAAATTCAAAAAATAAGCAAATCAAATTAAAAACAGGTTGATGACAAAACCAAAAAAATTAAAAAATCCGAAAAAAATCAAAATTCAAAAACTTACTTTGAGGCGAGCCAAGCACCCAACACGACCAACACAAAAACCACAACCAACTTCATTTTTTCACTCTCAATTTTTTTTTTCCGGACAGTAGAAAAATACAGGAGCGACTGATGTCCACCTTATACGTTTTCCCCTTTTAATACTTTTTCAAACAAATGGAACCTCAAATCATGGCACCCGAACCAACTGAACCACCAATCAAAACAGTCCACCATATTCAAATATTATTCCCACCTATTTGGTCACGACTTTTTTACCATGTGTGTATTGAAAAAGGACGAAACTTTTTTATTATTTTAAATTTTAATTATTGACGGGGATTTAGGTGAAATGTGTGTGTGGGCATGGGTACTGAAACGAATGGGTACGTTTCGCGGAATCGGCGTACGTGCGAAAAAGGGGACCGAATTCCGCATCTGATCCTGGAATGGAAAATTTTACAACTTGTTATGTCTGAGTCCGACTATTTTAATGCAGTGGCGTCGGATATGATTTTTTTTTTAGAGAGAATCGCAGGTTCTTTGTTTTATTTTTTTGAGCTAAATTAACTTTAGGAGAATAATATGCTTACCAAAACCCATTTTTATGGTCATTATTTACTTATGTTGGTTCCTTTTTCTGCTAATTTTTTGATGAATAGATAAAAAAATATAATTTTCTGCATTACCTTTTTGCATTTAAGATTATTTTCCAGTTGAATATTTAGTGCCAGTAGCGTAGACTGATTTTTTTTCCCTGAAACATTTTATTTTAGAATACCCTTGAATGCCCTTCATTGTTGGAAAATATATAAAACTCATCAAACATAATTGTTTTATAGAATTATTCTTGTTTATGAAGTTATTGCATATTTCTCAAGTCCAGTTACAGTTAAAAAAAACCTACAGAGTTATCCTATAAAAATGAGTTGTAGGTAATAACCGCACAACGAATATCCAGATTCAGTTTTACAGCTCCAAATACCTAGTAGCCCAAATGAAACAAATTGAATTTTTAAGAAATAAAATCATGTTGAGCAATTTGGTTTGATTTACGAATTTTTCGATTTTTCTGAGTGCCTTTTTTTGAAGAATCCGGCTCCAAATCTCAGAATAACTTAGTGTATGGATTTTTGGGGGTCCTGAATGATCATTCAGATAAAAAATCTCAACATAAAAAAATTTGAAATTTTATCATTTTAGTACCTACTAAAGGTAGCTACCCTATGACTTAGATTTTGGAAAACTTTGAAAAGTCGTAACTTTTTTCTATTATAGATAGAAAGTTGAAATTTTCAGCGATTCTTATCCGAGTAGAGGATTACAATCCCTGAAAATTTCAGTTCATTTGGACTTATAGTTTCAGAAATAAAATCGTGTTAAGCAATTTGGGTTAATTTATCAATTTTTCGATTTTTCTGAGTGCCCTTTTTTAAAGAATCCGGCTCCAAATCTCAGAATAACTTAGTGTATGGATTTTTGGGGGTCCTGAATGATCATTCAGATAAAAAATCTCAACATAAAAAAATTTGAAATTTTATCATTTTAGTACTAAAGGTAGCTACCCTATGACTTAGATTTTGGAAAAATTTGAAAAGTCTTAACTTTTTTTCTATTATAGATAGAAAGCTGAAATTTTCAGCGATTCTTATCCGAATAGAGGACTACAATCTCTGAAAATTTCAACTCATTTGGACTTATAGTTTCAGAAATAAAATCGTGTTAAACAATTTGGGTTGATTTATCAATTTTTCGATTTTTCTGAGTGCCCCTTTTTAAAGAATCCGGCTCCAAATCTCAGAATAACTTAGTGTATGGAATTTGGGAGGTCCCGAATAATCATTCAGATACAATATTTCAACATAAAAAAATTTGAAATTTTATCATTTTAGTACTAAAGGTAGCTACCCTATGACTTAGATTTTGGAAAACTTTGAAAAGTCGTAACTTTTCTTCTATTATATATAGAAAGCTGAAATTTTCAGCGATTTTTATCCGAGTAGAAGACTACGATCCCTGAGAATTTCAATTCATCTGGCCTTATAGTTTTAGAAATAAAATCGTGTTAAGCAATTTGGGTTGGTTTATCAATTTTTCGATTTTTCTGAGCGCCTTTTCTCAGAGAATCCGGCTCCAAATCTCAGAATACTTTAGTGTAGCAATGGAGTTTGGGGGGTCCGGAACGATCATTCAGATACAAAATCTCAACATAAAAAAATTTGAAATTTTAACATTTTAGTACTAAAGGTAGCTATACCTTATGATTTAGATTTTGGAAAACTTTGAGAGGTCATAACTTTTTTTCCATTCTAGATAGAAAGCTGCAGCGATTCTTATCCCAGCAGAGCACTACATTCCCTGAAAATTTCAGCTCATTTGGGCTTATAGTTTCAGAAATAAAATCGTGTTAAGCAATTTGGGGTGATATATCAATTTTTCGATTTTTCGGAGTGCCTTTTGTCATTGAATCCGGCTCCAAATCTCAAAATAATTTAGTCTATAGGGTTTGGGGGATCCCGGATGATCATTCAGACACAAAATCTCAACATAAATGTTGAAATTTTATCATTTTAGTACCTACCAATGCCCGGTTTTATAAAGTAGAGTTGAATATCTCGAGTTACCCTAAAGGTTAAGACTCGGGTTAAAATGCAAAGATCTCTGTAAAAATTTATGAAGTAGAGAACTCAGACACAGTATGACCATACATTAAGTATTACCGGTCTGTAATATGTCTAATGGTTTAAAGTGTGTGTTGATCACCCACAAGTTCGATAATATTTTCGATTGACTGTTTAGATAAACGGAAACGCGCTATGAATTCTTCATCATTCCAGTAATCTAAAGTCGCTATTCTATCTCCAAAAGCCTTAGGCTCTCGAGGTACCTCAATTATTTCAATAATATCTTCTTTATCATCTGTTAAGAGGTCATCAGAAATTTCAAATAAATCTCTCACCTCATCCATATTATCTCTAAATTAAAATATCTAATTAATTTTTAACTGCAACAAGTTGCTACAAATATCAATACCTACATACCCAGTTTTGGATAATGTAAACTTATTAGTTTTTAAATTATCCAATAACAAACAAAATAGATTATTTCAAGCTCTGTTCCAACCGATATGAGAACCGTTCCAGAACCAGTAATTTCCAGTTGCCCACCTATTTTCCAATAAGTTGAATGTTTATTCTACTTGAAAAATGAATTGATCGACTGAAAATTACCGTTCTAGAATGGTTCTCATTCCGATTGGAACAGAGCTATAATTTTCAAAATTAGAATTAGGCAATCCAAACCACGTGACTAAATGAGATGGCGTGGTGCCAAGCATTGTTTAAGAGAGGAAGGTTGCCTGATAACTTTATGACGTCATCTAGCGTGCCTCAACATAATGCAAATCTCCATAAAGCACCCCAGATGCGTCATCAAGTTACCCATTACCAGACAACCTATTAACTTTAGGAATTTTGAGGAACGTCTAATTGCAGCCAATGGAGCCGAAGCAAATGACAGTTTTGACAGATAGTTGCAATGTTGCCAGATGTTGTAGATAGTTTATTCGGCGGAATTTTTAAATATTATTTAAGTATACAAATACCTTATATTGAAAAAAAACTTGAACAATCAAACCTAGTCAACAAATAGTTTATTAATAATGAAACTCGCAAGCAAAATAACTAAAATACGCATAAAAGAGTAATTGAATCAAAATTTTCAGGAATTGTAGCTCCTAATTTCTACAACTGAGTAACTGAGGGACTGTATAACTGAGAAGTCAGAGCGGGACATCGAAAATATAATGAGAAACAAAACTCTTTTTTAAAAATATACAATTAATTAGGTACAAATAAACATAAAAATTAAAATTTGATATGAAATCAAGATTTCAGAATGCATGGTTGCATGCTGTAGGAACATGAAACCAAGAAGTTTCTCTTAGATGTAGCTTTTGGATGATTTCGAGAAAACCAATATCAGCGTCCGAAGAATGGAGGAAGCAAAATACCATACTGGTATTGGAGCGAAGGAATTGAAAGCGATTTTAGAATCAGATAAATAGACGAAAGCCCCTGGGTGGATTGGAACCAATAGAGAATGGAAATTAAAAAATGGAAACAGGAACTCTACCATCATCTTTTCCTCTTGATGGATTATTTGCATAGTTCACCTCCCTTAGATTCACCGTAATTATTCCAGTGGCGCCCCAGAGGGCAACTATAGGTTGGTAAAAGTAGAAAAAAAAGGCACTATTTTTTTTTCAAGTTTGATTTTTTTTTAGATTCAGCAAGTCATATTACAGTCAAAAGGTACCTTTTGTTATCACATACACACCTGCCATGCCAAGTTTTGAAAAAAAAATCGGAATAAGGATTTTTGGACTAAAAAACTGATTTTTTTTTCAAACTTTGACATCCTGTATCTCGAAAACTAACGATTCGCGGACCTATGTATCTATTAACTTTTTTCATATTTTAATCAGTCCTATTTATCCTAGAAGTTTCATCCCATTATTCATTAACACCCTGTATATCTAATTAAGTAGGTACTGTTTCTCATTTTAAACTATTTATTTATTTATTTTGTCTTATTTTAAACTATTTATTTATTTTTTCTTAATTATTTTTTGTTCTTCATAAATAACACTGGAAGACCTTGTTGGGTGCATATTAACCTAAATTAGTTTATCTATTTGTTGAAAAATATGAAGATGTCACTTGTGAGATATTTTTGTCTTTCTATTGTTCTCGCTTCTTATACTCTGAGTGTTTTTATGTGTAGATAGATACTTGTAATTTTTATAATGAATAGATTTGGGTGTTTAAAATTAAGTTTGCTTTGTCAATAAGATTTAAGAGTTTCTTGGACAATAAAGCATGTGTACTACTACTACTACTACTACTACAAATCAATATTAGGATTGTTTTGGGTCTCTGATTGGTCTTGGAATAATAATTCAGCAAATCAAGAAACCAGTAAAAATCAAAATTTGAAATATTACAGGCTCTTCATTTGCTGAACAAATTTTTTTATTTAGAGATAATCAAGAGTCGGTAATGATCAAAATTCAGGTTGATTTTCTCTTTAAAAAATGTCCAGCAAATCAAGAACCAGTATTGATCAATATTTAGACTGTTTTGGGTCTTTGATTGTTCTTGGAAGAATAATTCAGCAAATCAAGAAACTAGTA